TAATATATCTTGTATCTCTGGGCTGTGAAGTGGGTGACTAATAAAATGTCTCCTTTAGGCAAACAATGACTAGGTGAGACACACTAGAAACCAGAGAAGAAATTTGGTTATGCTGCAATACAGCAAAGGATGTGTTTGTTTTTTTTGCAGATGGGAAGTCGAAAGCCATTATGTTAGCCAAGCGTGGTAGTGTATGCCTGAGATTTCAGCACTGAGAAGGCTGAGGAAGAGGGACTATAGGTTCGAGGCTAGCCTCGAAGAGACTGTTTCAAAAACAAAAGCAAAACAAGAATAAAGACAACGTATTTTGTAAAAGCTGAGATGAACACCTGACTATTTTAATGTTTTTGCCACACATAATCATGCCCGTGACTCCTCCAGAGGATGCACCATTAGTTAAGTCGTGATTGGAGTCACAGTGAGAAACCCTTATTTCACTTTCCTCCACCAGTGGTTCTTTCTTTTTCTATCATCTCTTCATTTTATTGTTTTATGTCTGTAATTTTATTATCTTCTTATTTTTAATTAATATTAATTAATTACAATTTATTTGCTGTGTATCCCAGCTGTAGCCCCCTCCATTGTCTCCTCCCAATGCCACCCACCCTCTCTCTTCTACCCCTATGCCCCTTCCCTCTGGCATAGAAACAGACTACTGGTGGATCAACGGCATCAAATTAAAGACCCAGAAATAAACCCACACACCTACAGAAACTTAATTTTTGACAAAGAAGCCAAAACCATCATTGGCCCTTAATTACAAGTGGCTATAAGATCTTCCTTGCACTTCTGTTCACGCTCCCTGCCACTGCCCTGGTTCAGACTTTTTATCTGGACATCCCAACATCTTCCTTCTTCATTCCCTTCCTTCTTCTTTAACTCTACCTCAGTCTGCTTCTGTATTAGAAACCTTTTCCAGAGTGGTTCACCCCAAACCCAGATGTGCCCATCCTATCCCACTGCATAAAACATCCTCAGCATATCTCATTACCTAAACTGGTACCCTGAAATTAGACTCTGAGCTGTGGACGGTTTTTTGATGTTGTCAGGTCACTATTCACTGGTAATATGAATCCTGGAAGATTTTATTTAGGACAGGAACAATAAATTTGTTGTTTTCAACATACTTCTTCATGATCTAACTGATCTATACTAGCGCATGAGCTTGCACCCCTCACCCCCTGGAAGAGAGCTCATAATATCTGCCTCAGTTGCACTTTTCCTGCAGCATTTCTGCTAGACCCATCTGCCTACTATATTACAGACAATTTTTGGTTTGAGACTACGCTGAGCTTTTTGAGGCCTCTGCATCTCTCAACATGATGCTCATACAAAGGAAGTGGTTGTTGTTGTTGTTTGTTGTTGGTTGGTTTTTAAAGAACCTCACTGTGTAGTCCTGTCAGGACGGTCTCATCTTCACAGTGATGCCTTTGCCTGCCAAGTCTTCATGTCTGTCTTGAAGTGTTTTTATATCAATGCTTACAGATTAATACAGGTGTCACATACTTTATAAAGATCTTTCTGGTCTCCCAAGATTAAATGGGCTACTCTTGCCTTTGGGTCCACTAACTTAGCAGTTCATCCATCTGTCCATCCATTCATCCATCCATACATCTATCTATCCAACAATATACTATTCATCTTTGTGGGAGGAAAAAAAAAACACCCAAAACAGATTTTTACCCCAAGTTTCACCATTCAAGCTCATAGTCAGACACATTATATTAGAGAAGCTTGACTAGACTGAAAGCATGAATGTATCAAGGAGGTAGTGCAACTGGAAGGATGGGTAGGTTGGAAGTTCTTCAGAAACACAAGGTAGATCAATTAGAGTCTGTTGCTGAGACCCTGGCAGCATGTACTGAGGACCTGAGTCAAGGCAGCTGCCGTGAGGAGGGCGGGATGGAATGGCCTACAGGACTTGCCTGGGGGAGGAATGGCAGCAACAGTCAGTAACTGCTCAGCTGTTACCGGAGAGGGGAAAGGGTAAGTACCAGTTTTCTGGGCTGCTGACTGGAAATGCAAGTTATGGACCGGAGAAACACAGGAGGGAGGAAAGAACAAGGGGAAGAGTGATCTGTTGAATTGCTGACATGCCCCTGGGACATTCAGGGCTGTTTCAGGGATATGCTGTGGAGGCCATCCCCAGCTGGGCAGTAGCTGAAGTCATTTTCTAAGCATGGCAGACAGTAAGAGGGATATGACTCACTACAGGACTTTGGAGAACCTGGCAGCAAAGGTCAAGAGAGACAGAAGAGAAACGAGGAAGGAGAATGATGTCACAGACCCAGATTCCGCATGTGGCCATAAGAAAAGATAGTTCTGCCGATTACCCCCAACATGGCAATAAGTTGTGATTACTATCTTCCAATATTGAACTTTTTATTTTGGGCTATCCTATAAATTATTGTGCATAGGCTGCTATTAAGACAACATTTTGCCCTTGAGTACCTCTTGCAATTATTCACCTGCAGCAGGAGTCCCTAGGAGTGCTAAATTTCCTCAAGAAGCCAGTGCTATTGTTTTTAACTTATCAGTGCCTGTGGGAAGCTTTGTGATCATCTTCAGTCATTCATTCATATGAGGAACATATGTTGCAATGAAAAATTTAAAAATGAAAATTTAAACTCTCCCCAAACCCCATGGTAACCCACTAGTGAGCACCCCTGATGTGCCATAGGCTCAGTCATTTTCGTTTTGTTATGAAACCCTATTTTCCTTGGTTTTAGTAGATGCTTTTTTTCAATGCCCATTCAAGGAGGTTGGGCAACCTTGCTTCATTGCCATGGTATTTTTGGTGTCTGCTGTAGTGCCTACACTACACTTATGTACTTGCAGGCTTTGCAGTGTGCATGAGGTAGCTGGATACCGTTTCTGTTCTCCTGTCTCTCTGACAAGCTCTGCTCATTCCATGTTGTATCTGGCTGATGATGTTATAAGAACATAATAACGGTTATCTATCCAGTTTTCCTCTTAAACAAGAAAATAGCAAGGGTAGGTTTCCAAATACCCATTAGTGTAGGAGAGGACTTGAGACGAGAGAGTTGTGCATGAATTCAAACATTCCATTTATAAATGACAAAAGTCCAGGCTGGAGACTTGGGGAAGAGTTGATGGTACAGCTCTTGTGCCAATTCCTCCTGCTCAGGAAAGGCTTATCTGTTGAGTAACAGACACTCATACCTCGGATGGTAATCCACTACACTTTACCCATGTGAGCAAGAGTCTATCTAAAAACCATGCAGAAAACACCTATATTAATGTTTGACCAAATATTGGAAAAGCTGGCTCAGAAACACTAACAACATTAATTGTCATAGTATCCAATAGTGTGGTGTTCAAAGCCTTAGACGGTAGCATATGTGTGAGCTGTTACCCTCTTTACCTCTAATGCCGCCATGGTTATTTTCACTGATCTTCAAATAGTTGAAGTTTGAAGTTTTCAAGTTCAGGAGGAACAGTTTTTAAACCTGAGTGGAGATTCTGCTGAGCCCCACCTGGGCTGGTGCTTAGCAGCCCAGGAGACAGTCATGGGTAACTCTTAGCTTCAGAATTCTTACTAAGAACATAAGAAGCCTTATCAGCTACCTTCAGCTGTTCTTAATTAGGAATGTAACATACAGCTGCCTAGAATATGTTTTTATTATAAGTCCCTACCAACCCTGTGTTAAGCATCAGGTCATTTTTTGAGGGCCATCTGAAATAAGTTTTGACGATGACAAAGATAGCATTTGTATTTGAGAAAATGGATGTTCCAGAAAAGGATGAGGATTTGCCCAGTGTTCCTTGGCCTACTTATCCACTGGAACAAAATTCACACCCTGAAGCCTAGCTGTGGACAATGCCTGTTGTTCTGTCAGCTCAGGAGTTTGTGGGTCAGGAATTCAGTTAGTCTCTGTGCTACAGTGACTGAGTTCTAGCTAGGCTGATTCAAATGACTAGAGTCACTGAGATCACTTGTCTAGTAGGTTGGTGCTGGCTATCTTTCAGATCCCTCGATTTTCTTCAAATCGTGTTTACTGGGATGGGATGTCCAAGTTTACGTTTTTTACTTACACTTGGCTGGACCTGACCTCCTCCTTTTCCCTCTAGCTTGTGCTTCCTGACATTATGGAAGTCCAGGGTAATTGAACTTCTCTATGGAACTAACCTCTCCCAGGTTAGAGTTTGCAAAAATCTACGAGACCTTCCTTTTATGACTTGTCTGCATGAGTCCCAAATTGTCATGTCTATGATAATTTACTGGTCAAGCAAATCATTTAAGCCAGCTGACATTTAAAGGAAGAGAACGGGTCCCCATCTCTACAAAAGAGAGATAACAAAAACTTTCAACCACCTTTAATCTGTAAGAGTCAAAACTGGGACATGGAGCTGAGATTTTTTTTTTTTTTTTTTTACTTGCCTTCCAAAGCCTTGCCTTTTTGCTTAGTTGCTTTGTCTCTGTCAGCACCCATGTGTGGTGGCCACAGGGATCCTCATTGTGATAAGTCTCCTGGGTCACAATGTAAATAGATAGCCAGCTGCAAGAGTGCCATGGCTTGGCAACCTGTGACATGTCAGGGCGGGGCAATGAGAAGGGCTAGCTGGCACCAATATCCTTCTTGGGAAAAGGGACATCAATGTCATCTCTCACCCTGTAGGTGGCCCAGGGCTTGAGAGAAAAACATGGGACATGCTAATGACTGGTGCTAATGAGGGCCAGGAACAGGAGGGAGGGAGGGAGTCCATGACCATATAGTGGAGAGATAAGGTGAATGGGGAAGACATCGGAGGCCCAGCCTTCTGCTGTATCCACCCTCCAGAAGGAAGCCAGTCTACCCACAATAGTCCTCCAAACATAGAAAGCAAAAACCTCATTTCCTGGAGTCTTTCTTTGCCAACCAGACTAGAAGAAGTCAGCAACTCCAGTCTCAGGGGAATTAAACAAGCCTACAGTAAGGATTAAGAGGAGTCAACTTGGAAACCTTGCTTTTTCTCTCTCTGGGAGCAGTATTGTGGCATTGAGAAGAATGAAGACCAAGTTTGCGGTAAACTGTCTCAAAACCCTTGTCCTCATCTACTCCTTTGTCTTTTGGATCACAGGGGTGATCCTGTTGGTGACTGGAGTCTGGGGAAAGCTTACTCTGGACATCTATATCTCTCTTCTTGCCAGGGACTCTGCAAATGTTCCCTTTGTGCTCATTGGAGCAGGCGCCCTGGTTGTCATGTTTGGTCTATTTGGATGCTTTGCTGCATACCGAGGCAGCCCGTGGATGCTGAAGCTGTACACTTTGTTTCTGTCCTTGGTGTTCCTGGCTGAGGTCGCTGTTAGCATTCTAGGGCTTATATGTCACCATGAGATCAAGAACAGACTCCTAAAGGTTTACACCAATGCTGTGCAGAATTATAATGGCAATGATGAGAAGAGCCAGGCCATGGACCAGCTGCAGCGCACCCTGAACTGCTGTGGCATGAACAACTACACCAACTGGGAGAACAGCACATATTTTCTGGATCATGGTATCCCCAGAAGTTGCTGTAAAGATGTAGCTGACTGTAATCCCGAGGATCTATACAATCTGGCCACAGCTGCCACCAAAGTTAACCAGAGGGGCTGTTATGTTCTGGTGATGGGTTTCTTGGAGGCCAACATGGGGATCATCATTGGAGTGCTGTTTGCAGTCACATTCTCCCATTTGGTTGGCATGAGGCTGTCCTGTTGTCTGTCCCGGTTCATCATGACCCATCAGAATGAGATTATGTGAAAAGTTTTCCAAGAACAATAGAGGAAGAAGACTGTTTCCAAGGAGAACTACTCCATCCTATGAAAGATTTGCAAAGAACATTGATGCACAGAACTCATCCTCCCTGCTCTGCTCTCACTGCCTTCCTCCTCACAGGTCCTGCCCCATACAGGTTGCTGACACTTCTACCTGATCACTGCTCCAACTTTTAGCCCACATGAAGGACTGCTCAATTCCTGAAGCCCTGATATGTTGCACAGTGCAACCACCTGCAGCCAGTCATAGTGAACCCCACTCTACAGCCCTGTATGTTCAAGATCTTCCTCATGTTTTGGGTCCATAGGCAGCTTATTGTGGGAGACTAGCTATCACAGTATCACTGGCCTCTTGTGGTCCTGAATGAAGGATGGGAGTCTGCCGCCCTTCATCATGGTCCATAAATGCCATGCATCAGTAGATCAATAACCATATGGCATTATCAGTTATTTGGGTTTAATCTTGTTTGCTTTGGTTTTCACTTTTGCTGGGGTCTTCCCTACTTTCTTTAGGCTGCCTAAAGATGTGAAGAAACATGTCAGAAGTTATAAGATGAAGAAAGCATGTGTTATGGTGGAAAACTATCAAGTGTGCAAATTCTAGCTGGTTCCACACCTGGAGATACAGCTTAGTGCATATTGGCCACTCAGTTGAGATCCACACAAGCTCATTTCAAGGCTGTGTTGTTTCTTCCCTTGAAAGTAATGATGTCAACTCTGGTTTTCCTCATCAACTAACTGCTATTTGTTTTTTGTTTTTTTTTTCTTTTTCTGTATTTTTTTTCTTTCATTGAGACTTCAAGGGCTTCATATCAACTTAAAAATGGGCATAGAGGGGGGACAAAAAATATTTTAAAAAGATATTTAAAAATAGTGCCTCTGGGCTTCAGGGTTAATTCAGTTGGTAGAGAGTTGGCAGTGTAAACATAAGGATCTAAGTTGGTACCTCAGAAAAGCTAGATGTGATGGCCTTCACTTATTATTCTAGGGCTGGGGAGGCTGCACAGGTGGACCTCTCACTTATTGGCTGGCCCACACAGCTTAATTTGCAAGATGTAGGCCAGTGAGAAACCCAGCCTCAATAAACAAGGTGATAGCATCAGAGAAATAAAAGCCTCATCTGACCTTTGGCCTCTAAACCTCTATACATATACACCCCCCCCCCATTTTCTTCCCTCCAAACAACCTCCTCTGTTTAGAATGGCAACAAAATGATGCATCATTATTTATAAGCGTTTGTGATGTGTGCATTGATAAACAGAGCAATTATGAATACCCTGAAAAGAGAGGTGCCTCTGGAGCTCCTGTGTAGCCTCTTCTCTTCCACTTCTCTGTCTCACTGGAAGTTAATGGAGAATTGCAGATAATCTTCTGGTATACTAATAAAGGCTCTTGGTTAATAGCCCTTCTTTGGGCTGATCTTTGTGACCTGTTAGGTCCCCCACTGGGGAACTTAGAGGAATGCTTCTTTTCTAAAAGCAGTTTTTAAATCTAATTAGTAGTGCAGCATTTGGGATGTGGCCTTTGCCTCCCATACGGAACTTTCTTTGAACACCATGAAAACCTCGAGACGAGGGAATGGAGTTAGCTGATTGTGGCACTTTGTCTATTGCCTCTTATTGCTCAGTCATTGTTGCTAATAGACACACGTGAGTCATTGTGCCAAAGTCCAGGGCATGAGTCATGGTCACACCAGCAGTTACAATGGTGCCATGTTCTTGTCCAGAGATAGGGGTGGATGTGAGCATCGTAATTCCCATTAACAGCCGAGCTCATGAAAACTCAGAGACCATTCTGGGAAGAGATCTTCTTCTAAACAAACTACAACAAAATAAGGTTTTATTTTCCTGTCTTTTTTTTTTTTTTTTTTTTTTTGCAAATGTATGATAGGTTTTTTGTAGTCATCATGTAACCATGTGGGGAAAGGAAAAAAACCTAAACCATACCAAACAAAACAGCATACTCCAGCTACTGGGATTTAAAAATCAGAATGGCTGCAGCTTATCTTCTGTGTTTTAAGCCATTCTTGGGTTTTCTGTTTGTTTGGACTCTGGTCACCCAGCATTTGAAGACTAGTCTGCATTTCAAGTAAAGATGTGGCTCATGGTCTCTTGAATTTTCCTTGGAGACAGCAGATACCCAGATTCTAAGCTCAGAAGTCCATTCCTGGTTTACTTGGAAAACATGGGTGAGTAGAGACAGACAGCAGCAGGCAGAAGCAGACAGAGACAGAGAGACATAAAGGAACTAGAATAGAGAGGTGACACTTGAGAAAACTTAGATTTCTAGGTTTTTTTTTTTTTTTTTCTAACTCTATGCCCAGAACATAGACTTCTAGATCTGGCATGGACACTGAAGGACCTGTGTTAAGCCCTCTCCCTTGAAGAGGCATCTACCTCAGACTAGATTTGGAGTGTGGGGTTCTGTGTCTTTAATGGGGGATGGAAAGGACAGAGAGTGGCACTTTCACATCTGTGTTATGACACGCTCGTACTCTGTGTTGTAGAAAGGAATCTGCGTATGCACGTTATTACCAGGCCAGCAGGGACACCGAAGTAAAGATCTGTTTGTTCTGAGTTAATCCCCTTTGCAGCCCAGATACTCCTGGGGGAGTGCAAGGGTGACACCAGCAGAAATAAACTGGAGTATGAATTTCTTGGAGTGCCCAAAGCCAGATAACTGCAGAATGAAAAAAAGGGAGAGGCGGAAGGCCAGAGAAGCACATGCATCCTGTGTCTCAAAAGCATGGCTGACCACCTGACCAGAAGAGCAAGACAGAGGTCTGCACCGATGGATTCTTGGGTCCCACTCAATCTTTCTGGCTGGGGATGAAATAAAAGACACAGTTTTAGGGTGTTAATCCACCGTCTTAGTGATTTTTTAAAGATCTAATTTCTCTCTCTGCTCATAGATATTTGTGACAGGCAGCAATTAAACTGTGTTGAGTTGTAATTTAATTTTGTGGTGGAAAACCTGGTCTTTTGGGGTGGTCAACATTACAAGTGCTGTTACATGAATCCTCTCAGCCTCCTAACTATGGTGTCCTTAAGCTTATCTTCCTTCAGCTGTGAATGTGGATGGACTTTTTTCTTTTTTTCTTTTTTTTTTTTTTTGGTGAGTACCATGTTCAATAGAGGTCCCTGGTAGCACTTATCCTGACTTATCAGTCAGAATGTAAATGTGTGTGTGCATGCCTGTGTATATGCCCTAACCTTGTCCAGAGGCAAGAGACTATTGCCACTTGCCAGCCTAGCCAGGGTCACTGACCTGATTTCTTCTAATCAGACATCTCTGTTTCTTACCAGGTTTCTCATAGCCTCCCTTTGAGGGCTTCTGGCACTCTGACTCTTCTGTGTACACCTGTCAACCTCTACCCTGGAGTGGTGGTTGTTCTTTTTAATTTTAATTTTTTATATCAATTACAGTTTATTCACTTTGTATCCCAGCTGTAGCCTCCTCCCTCATTCCTTCCAAAGCCCACTCTCCCTTCCTCATCTCCTCCCATGCCCCTCTCCAGATCCACTGATAGGGGAGTTCTTCCTCCCCTTCCATCTGACCCTAGTCTATCAGGTCTTATCAGGGCTGGCTGCATTGTCTTCCTCTGTGGCCTGGTAAGGCTGATCCCCCATCAGGAGAGGTAATCAAAGAGCCAGCCACTGAGTTCATGTCAGAGACAGGCCCTATTTCCCTTACTAGGGAACCTACTTGGACACTGAGCTGCCATGAACTATATCAGTGCAGGGGTTCTAGGTTATCTCCATGCATGGTCCTTGCTTGAAGTATCAGTCTCAGAAAAGATCCCTGGGCCAATTTCTTGGTTCTGTTGCTCTCCTTGTGGAGCTCCTGTCCCCTCCAGGACTTTTTATCTTCCCTTTCTTTCATAACATTCCCTGCACTCTGCCCAAAGTTTGGCTATGAGCCTCAGCATTTGCTTTGATATCTGCTGGGTAGTCTCTCAGAGGCCCTCTGTGGTAGGTACTTGTCCTGTTCCCTGTTTGATCCCTCTTCTGATGTCCATCCCATTTGCCTTTCTGAGTGAGGACTGATTGATCATCTTACCCTAGGTCCTCCTTCTTGTTTAGCTTCTTTAGGTGTACAGATTTTAGTATGTTTATCCTATATTATATGTCTAATATCCACTTATAAGTGAGTATATACTATGTGTGTCTTTCTGCTTCTGGGATACCTCACTCAGGATGATCTTCCCTAGATCCTACCATTTCTTAGTTAGTGCTTTCAGACCAACTCCAGCTTGAGCGCCTAGATGAATTTCTCCAGCATCCAGTCAGCTGCCACAATACCTCTGAGTTTGGATTTCAGTTCTTCCTCCACTCCTTGCTAAACATTTACAGTTGCTCATGTGTCACTGACTCATATTTCTTAAAAAAATTTTTTTCATCAGGTGCTGATTTCTGTGACCTAATACCAAATCAAAAGCTACTTAGTAGAGGAGAGCTTTGTTTTGGCTTACAGTTTGAAGGATTACGGTCCACCCATCGTGGTGGGGACATTAGGCAGCAGGAGCATGCAATTACTGGATCCATTGCATCCACCGTCAGGTAGCCGAGTGTGATGATTGATTATGCTTAGCTGACGTTCTCCTTTTCACTTAGTCTTCAATTCCAGCCCATGGGGTTATGAGGGGTCTTCCACATCGGTTAACCTACCTAAGAAACCCCTTGTAGCTATGCCAGAGGTTTGTCTCCTAGGCAATCTTAGATCCAGTCACTTGCAGAAACTGTCATCATGATTACCCATGCGATGGGGAAGTGAAGTCCCTCTAAGGTAGGGACATCCATGAGCCTGTTGGCTGAGCTGGAAGAAAGGACAAGAGGAGATGACAGCATCAGGGGGATGGCTGCTGACTTTTCCGTGAGCCAATAAAGGCACTTCACAGGCTGGCCCACGTGGAGGTCCACATAGTTCTTCTTGGCTATCTATCCAGCCTTCAAAAGCACAAATCTAAGGAGAACTGCAGGACAGAAT